TTATTATTTCATGTGTTGACGCTTTTACAAGTGTAAAATTTATATTTAATGAATTGAGCTCCTGACGGCTCTATTTAGCTCTAATGAGGTTGCGACTAATTTTAGTCTATTGTAATGCTTTAAAGCAATTAATATAAAATAACCTGACTTTTAAATAAATCTCTGAATTAAAGAGTGAGCTAATCTTTTGTTATGTTGAGCTTGTAATATCGCTCTGAGTATCTTATGATAATTATTGGCATCTTTGGCCTCTGAAATGCAAAGTGTATTATTAACATAAATTTTATAAAAGTATTTTGTAAAATGTTTTATTTATAAACTATCTTATAATCTAATATTTTATTATTTACATTTTTTGTTTGTTTGAATGTCTTTTGTTTCTCACACTCGGGGTGATTTTATTTGTTTTGGAGGGCTCTTCGTGATGTCTTCCTCCTTTGTTACCTCCTCCGGTTGATCCGCGTCTGCGATCTGGTCACCGGGCTTCCCCGTTATTAGTAACCTTTCGACTTGGCTCTGTGGAGTTTAATTATGTGATTTTAACTTGTGTAAAATTGAGGCGATTCGCATCGACCTCAGCGAATCTGAGTGGCGATTGCAAGGCCAGCTAGAGTTAGATAGGCGATTGGCTCCTTTCAACCGTTCAAGTCGGCGGGGCCGGACCTTATTTTCCCAACTCTTCTTCAGAGAGGGCTGGGGCAGATAATTGGGCCCCTCACGAGTATGTTGAGGAGCTGTCTAGCTCTCGGTTACACCCCCCGAGCGTGGAGAAGGGCGAGAGTCGTCTTTATTCCCAAAGCGGGGCGGGCGAACCATGTCACTGCTAAAGACTTTAAACCGATCAGCTTGACTTCGTTCCTTCTTAAAACGTTGAAAAAGCTGATTGACGTATATATCAGGGACTGTGTACTGGCCCGGTATCCGCTGCATGCCAAGCAGCACGCTTACCGGGCTGGCCACTCGAGTATATCGGCCCTCCATTTGGTTGTCTACAGTATTGAAGGATAACTTCAGAAGGGGGGCTTTTTGGTAGACATCTTCCTGGACATTGAAGGGACCTTCAACAACACTCCACATGAGATGGTTTGTGCCGAGACGACAAAGCGGGGAATACCGGCGAAACTTGTTGAATGGATCCGGGGAATGCTTGGACGCCAAGTGACGACATTGCTAGGTACGGTGAGTGTCGAAGGATGGGTGGCGAGAGGCTGTCCCCAAGGAGAGTCCTCTCACCACTCTTGTGGTGCCTAGTAGTGGATAGGCTACTTGAAGAGCTTAATGACAAGGGCTTCAAGGCAATCGGGTACGTTGATGACTTGGCGATCCTGATAGGAGGCCCTTTCCTAGAAATGCTCCTAGAGCTCACACAAGGGGCTCTAGGGGTGGTAGAGGAATGGTGTGAGAGGACAGGTCTATCAGTGAACCCGAGTAAGACAAGCCTGATGATCTTCACACACAAGTACGAAATAGGCCCCGTGGAGGGGCCCGTATTGAAGGGGGTCAGACTGACTCCTGGAATGTCAAGTATGGGAATTGTCCTGGATAAAAGATTGAACTGGAAGCTGCACCTGGAATCAGTATGTAAGAAAGCCAGCACATACTTTTGGATGTGCAGAAGAACCTTTGGGCAAACTTGGGGATTGCAGCCAGACAGAGTATTTTGGCTATACTCTGCGGTGCTCCGACCAAGATTGCTCTATGCTGCGGTGGTCTGGTGGCCAAGGACACAGCAAACTGAGGCCCGCGCATCACTGGAACACATCAGGGCTCTCTTCTTAAGAGGGGCTCTGGGTGCAATGAGGACAACGCCAGTGGCGGCAATGGGAGTGCTGCTCGGCATACAACCACTCCATCTCGCGATAGTGGCAGCAGCAGCGGTCACGGCTGAAGTGCGAGAGAAAATGGATGAGCGGTGTGACTCACACCCGGTTACCGCGGGAACTCCAAATGGAAACCGTGTTTGACATGAGGCAGGATAGAATGCCAATAAGGCGTGACTTTGACAGATCGTACAAGATCTATATTCCTAACCGCGAGGACTGGAAGAGGCATGAAGTGTTCGCTATCAGGAATGGGGACGTCTGGTACACGGATGGCTCCAAGACTGATGAAGGCGCCGGTGCCGGGATCTACGGGTGCCGTAGTGGAGTCAGGGAGACTCTCCCTTTTGGAGAGTTCACCACTGTCTTCCAATCGGAAGTGGTAGCGATTATGGGCTGTGCTCAAACGCTAACCGCATCAGGTGAGACGGGCAGACGCATTAGGATATGCTCCGATAGCAAGGCGGCTCTGGGGACGCTGGGGGCATGCGTCTTTGATTCGTGGCTGGTCTGGAAGTGCAAATGTGCTCTGGACAGATTGTTCACGGGCAACGATGTTGCTATCGTATGGGTTCCGGGACACTCGGGAATCAGAGGTAATGAGATTGCTGATGAGCTGGCAAGAGGTGGCTCATCAGCCAGGCTGATGGGACCGGAACCGGCTCTAGGTTTGCCCAGTTGTATCTGCAAGACAAAAATAAAGGGCTGGTTATGCGACCGTCATATCAACTATCGGAAGGAAGAGACAAGAACCAAGTGCAGGCAGGCGAGGGCCCTGCTGGGAGGGATGCCCAGCAGGGACCTTGCCAGGAGCATTACGGCCTTGAGGAGAGGGGAAACCAGGCTGGCGGTGCAGATCTACACGGGCCATGGCTTCATTAACTGCCACATGCACAAGCTGGGGCACAGTGATAACCCGAGGTGCAGGAAGTGCGAACACGAGGAAGAAACCTCTCTCCACGTGCTATGTGAATGCCCAGCGTATGCAGGACAAAGGCGGCTTTTTCTGGGCTCGGTATTTCTCGAGCCCGAGCAGGTATGTCAACTCCAGGTCAGGGATCTCCTCCGTTTCTGGAGGAAGACAGGTCTGATCTGATCTGAAGGTAGTACGACCGGAAAGACACAATGGACCTAGTCTGCGTGTCGTTGGCTGGCCCCAACTGGTGGCTACCTCCCGAGAGTATTATTATTATTATTATTGCCCCTAATGAGTACACAACAATCAAAATTGCTTCCCAGATCGTCGTTTATACTATCTGTAATTTTAAGAAAAGTGTTTGTTTAATATATCATATTTAATAAATACTTGATTATAATACTTGATATAATTATATTTAATAATCATACTTAATACTTGATATAATTCTACAGATTTACATACACGTCGTTTTATTAAAAAAACAATTTCTAGGGAGAAAAAGAGAGAAATAGAAAAAGCGATAACAAGTTATTACTCACGCTGCTTAACATGATACCAATAAAGCAGAATCGAAATACGCTGTTTACATACATGTATATTAAACTAAAATTTGAAGATAACAGTTCTTTTAGCAATAAAGATATACTGAAAGAAAGAATATAATATATCTGTAAAACGCCATGAAATGACGCATTGAATTTTACCAGTGTTGGAACAGATACCGTTTGAAAGGTATCTAGATATAGGTATAGATATTGTGTGGGAAGTACATATTTAAGTATAAGTACAGATATAGTTTTTGATAATTACCTAAGTACAGATTCAAGATAAAAGTATCCGAAAATTTAGGTAATTTTTAGGTACTTAAGGGGATAGTCTGCTTTACAAGGTCAAAAAAATCGATTTTTTTTTATTGCTGAAATGGATAGATAAACTATCCAAGAATATATTCTCAAAAGGATAAATTCCTATTCAAAGTATTTGTGACGATATAAGGCCGAGAGCAGGTAGGTGCGGAGCGCGCCGCGGCGAATGCCGGTCTGCTTCGAGCGCGCGCCCGTCCCTCGATCCCCTTACCTGTAATATGGCTTTTCAAAACAATACTTAGGAGCCGAACAAATTCATCTTCATGAATACTACGAGGAAGCTGAAGGCCTCTTATATAGTGCAGGAATCGCTGATTAGCAGATTATTGATGTAAGTAGTCAATAAATCAAACTTTTTCCGACCGCAAACTTTAGCGTGTTTTCTCGAGTTTTCAGTTTTACGATTTTTCCTAAACTGCGTACACGATAGCAAAAAAAATATTTGACCGATCGACAAAAGCCAAAGTGCGTTCTCTTCACAACTAAATTCCCTTCTATATGAACCAAAAAAAATTATTAAAAAAGTCTTTTTTAATAATTTTTACATCAGGTCAAAGTCAAATTTAAACATGTAAAAATGCATAATTTGTGTTCAAACTACAAATAATCATCATTATGCCTCTTTTTCGGAATTTTTTAGGTTCATATAGAAGATATACATGTCTAAGTTAATAATCAGTTTAATTTTTTCATTTCAGACAAGAATTGCGAGCGGCATCGTGTACGTAGATGGACAACTCCAGAGCCGAGGCGCTCCACACAATAGCCTCTACATCCGCCATTTTCTATTAAATTGCTCCATAAAAATTCACTTTATACCCTTTGAATACATATTAAAATGAGGCATAAACGTTTAAGAAGTTTAATTATTTTTTCCCTTCTAAAAAAATTCCCAAAATATTGCTATTTTTTGGCCTTGTAAAGCAGACTACCCCCTTAAAAAAAAGGAAGAAAAGAAAAATGCAGAGGTAGGAAAAAATTGGGAAAACAAGATGAGGAAAAGATATAAGCAACATAAAATACTACATTTTATTTGTTTGTTTTAATACATAAAAGAATATCTCGATAATGAAAATTTAAGTTGAAAACAACAAGCTGTGTTACACTAATTTTATTTTATATAAATTTACCACTTATGTAGATACTAAAATGTTTGAATTTTGATAATAAAAATTGTAGGCCGTGGTCCGATTCATGCTGACAACGCTCATGAGCATCATTTGTCTTTGTTCAACAATTGACAAACAAGGATGAAATTTTTAAGTGTTGTGAGTGTGAATCGGATTGCAGTCGTAATCATAACATGCGTGACATACGTCATTGCGATGAACTATCGATAGGAACAGCGTGGCAAATTGGTCACGTGACCAGTTTGCCACGCTGTCACCTCAAGGGGTCACTCATATAATTTTCCTCCTAGGGCTAAATCGAGAAAAGTGAAAATTTTTATATCTTTTATGTATGCATAATTGCATACATACATAAAAATTTTTACATTTCTCGATTTCGCCCTAAGAAAAAAGGTCTCAGGCGCACAAAAAATATCGGACACAGCAAGTTGTTTCAATCGGACACAGTCTCAATCGGACACAGATTGAAAGGAATATACAACTTCCATCGGACACAGTTTCAATCGGACACAAGTTGAAATGGACCAACGACGGTCCTAATCGGACACAAATTAAACGGGTAAAAATTCTCACATCCCGAATTCCAAATGGGTTTTTAGTGCCTTTGAAAAGACTGTTCTCACGTCTTACTGTCTTCATGGGTTAAAAATATTCCAAGCGAACACTGTCCCAGCTGAAACTTCCACGTTAGGCCCCAAGCGGGTAGGATATGTTGTTCTTTTTTTGTTCGGGGCGGCGTAGCCCCGAACCTGAGCGTTACTGTCCACACACTCCATTATCTACATGGGTTACAATTTCGCAGTGTGGCTATAACAGATTTCCTAACCTCAATAGTCGTCAACTTTAACGCTTAATATCTCAGTTCATGGGACAAAGCGATGCTTATTTCTGCCAGATTCTTTCGTTTCATGCAAAAACGCGTCGAATAAGCCTAATTTTATTGATTTTTGAGATGACCGAGGTAGATTGCACTTTTACCCGTTTTAACTTGTGTCCGATTGGAACAACTTGCTGTGTCCGATATTTTTTGTGCGCATCTGAGCCTTTTCCGAAAAAAGTTACTCTGATTGGTCCCAAGCACCAAAGCTCTGTAAAGCCTAATATGGATGCAAAAAAAATCGTAATTCGTCATGTTACAAGTTGTTCTTCTTCTCTAACCTATATATTTCTGCATCTATAATAGGTTCTATAAAGTTATAAGTAATAAGTATTAGTGCTTGGAGCCAATCAGAAAAGACCGGCGCGTCACTAGTTTGCCACGCTCTTTCTATTCTTTAGTCGCCAATCACTAAATACTAAGAACTAAAATTACCTAGGCGTCCGGGGAAAAAAGGTATTATAAAATTATATAATTTTATGTTAGGGATATAAAATTATATAAAATTATGTAAAATTATATATAATTATATATGAAATATGTCCAAATATGGAGATTTAAGAACTTTTCGACATCATATACAGGATGTCCCCGACCTACGAGATTACTTCTTATGAACAGGTAGAGCGGACTAAACTAAGTCAAAAAGTTCTTCACCATTTTGCAATTTTCGCAATACTTTAGGGAATATTAATTTCTAAAGATCACCAAATAGGCACGTATCCGTGCGGACAAGCACCAAGATTACACCTATCAGTTGCAGTCGATTGTCACACGGAGACGGAAACTACGCGATAGGCACGCGTTAAGCGCTATAACTCAAGCAACGCGCCTACAAAACAGTCACTACTCTCCGCACAACAAGCGACCGCGATCGATTTATGAATACTTGGTGGTAATCCGTGCGCATACGTGCTCATTCAGTGATATTTAGAAATTAATATCTCCTAAAGTATTGCAAAAATTGTACAATGGTAAAGAATTTTTTTACTCAGTTCAGTACGCTGTGGCTGCTCATGAGATACGATCTCGCAGATCGGGGATATCCTGTATAATTATATATACTATTATATAATTTTTTGTAACTAATATGAAATTACATGATTTTGTAAAATCTTTTTTCTCTCGAACGGTGAAATAAATGAAACTTGTACAAAGTTAAGAATTAGAGAAGAAAGGTGATTTATAGTATAGTAATCAAAAATTAAGTTTCTAATATGACATAAAATAAAATGTATAAGTATCTTGTAATTATGTATTTAAAACTTAAAAAATATCGTACCAAAAAATAACTAGATACGGACACAGGTATCTCCGCCTATAATGATCTAGATAATGCACTTAGGTACACTAGCGGTCACTAATGCCTTTCCGCTGACAAGGAGCCGTCACATAATGACCAAAAAGTTATACGATGATTTTGTCATAATCCGATAGAGTACCTTTCAATGAGTGACATGTGAAGTTTATTTGCTAATGTAACGAGTATTACTGGATTTTTGGACAGAGAAAGTTGGCTGCCAGTGAGGTCCGCAAAGTCCATAGTCAAGGCACCATTGCACTCTCAAACACGCATACAATTTATTAAGAACACATAAATAGTATCCACAGTTCATTACATTAATATTACATATGATACGGAATCGCTGTAAGTAAAGTAGTAACACCGATTCTAACCCAGGTTCTCTGAGGGGGGGTGAGAGGCAGGGGGGTTCTCAGCGGCGCGGGGGGATCCGCGG